AAAATCTTGATAATTTTTTTATGTTTAAGAGACTATTATTTCTGACACGGTTTTAGTTTTTGAATTCCATTCCTGTTTTTTTGAAGATATTATTCCAGTGAGTGTGGAGATTTTTCTTAATTTCAATGCCAATAAATTGCACATTATACAAAGAAGTTTGAGTGCTCTAACTTACGCCCGGTTAGAAGACACATTTTTAGAAACATTTTTAAAACAAATTAATTAAAATTCGCACGATATATAAGGATTTATAATAATTCAATGACAGTGTTTTATCTTAAGAAATTTAAAGGCAGTAAATGGTTTTTTTATTTTAAGTGCAATCCAGCATCCTGCCTGCCCTTCTGGACTTCCTGTTCGAAGACTGTTTCATAAGCCATGGTGTATGGTTGAGGAGTGTGCAGAGGGGGGTTGCCTAAATAATTGTGACATTGGCACGTCAGCAGCGTGCAACGCGCGTCGAGTGTTGCATACTTTTAAGTACATCCCCCGCCACCCACCACCCACCACCAACCCCTTCAAGGACTCATCGCCGGCGTCGATGCATGTCATTTGCTGGCAGATTGACAAACTTTGGTGCGTTCTTTGGGGACTGGGTGTGAGTGTGATGAATATGAGGACCGTCAGCGGGTAATGTCAACTTGCAACGTGCAACTTGCAACTCGCACTGATGCCGAGCAATTTCAATTGACGACACGAATGACGGCAATTGCCGGCTTTAAAGGGATAAGGCGACATAATGATGGAGCATAAGGGTCTCCGAAATTGCCATAAAAACGGTTTGGCATCGCGGCAGTCGTAAAACGTAAGCCCCTGGAGAAGATAGTAGTTATAATTGCAGAGCGGGAGATTTTTACTTGCAGCTCATAAAAAACGGTAGACCACAAAATGGGAAAAGGAAAGGTCGACCAAAGTTGTCACAAATGGTGTCACAATGCAATGGTGGTTCTTGAACATTAAGGGACAACAACTTTTTATTTGCTTGGTATTGCCCTCTTGCCGATAATAAGGATTCAGTTATAACTATGCAATATAATATGTGTTTTATTTGTTGGGCTATTAAGTAAAGCGTTATGCGTACATTATTTGAAGGAGTGCTAGAGGACGTTTGACAACTTTTCTTGCCAAGTCCTTGTCAAAAAAAGGGACAGATCTGTCCCCCAAAGAGACAAACATTGGCAGCTCTGTTTTAGAGGGTTATCCATTTCCAACTGACATTTATGCAAATCGAAATTCGGGTTAACAACGTCAGCAGTCAAGGGGTGTAATGTTAAATATAAAATTTACTATCCCAGCTGTTGCCGATTGTCGTCATTTGGTCGGTTATGGAATTTAAGCTCTGCAAATATGCATTTAACACACTTTGGCGTGTCGAGATGCGGCACCATGCTGTGCTACGTACGTATGTCTAGGTATACGTACATATGTATGTATAAATAAAAATCGCCAGCAGCTGTTGGAAGGACGGAATGGGATGGATGGTGTATCATGGGATGGATGGGTACTGGGGACATGGGACGTGGGCAGTGCAGTGCGGCATTTTGAGGAGCATATGAAAAGTTTGGCTCCCATGTTGTCGCATGGAATTTATGATGAATTTTCCAACTCGACGCATATTGCAGAACATTTTTGGGTCCGTTCGGCCTAGCCCTGATCCATCCTCCTCATCCGCTTCTCCATGAACTGCAACCACAGCAGCCGCAACGCAGGCAGTTCCAGAACCAGAACCAGAACCAGGCCAGCATTTGTTCCATGGCTTGTTCCTGGCCCTCTTTCTGCCTCCTCAATTTTTTTGTTTTTAACTGAATCCATCCCAATCCCCCGTCTCCGCCAGCTTTTGATGTTGCCAGTTTGGCCCGTTGCTCGGTTGTTCGGCCACATGACGTAGTCCTCCTCGTCCTGCATCCCCAATCCCGGAGCTGCCCAAGGGTCCGCACTCTGAAATTGTTTTAGAGCTGTTGGAAAATTTCGAATGCGATTTGACATATACAACGCAGTGAGTGCGGAAAGGCCAACGGCGTGGCTGCCGCTAACAAATTCTGTTAGAATGAAACGGATAAACGACTTCGCACCAGAATGATGCACTTCTTTAACCCTGTTTGGGTAAACTCTCGGCTTCTTAAATAATAAATTGGGTTAAGTAACAAGACATATAATCAGTTATACTTGTACGTTTATAAGCATTTATTAGGGAATACTAGATTCGTTGAAAAGTACAATGTAACAGGCAGAAAGAAGCGTTTCCGACCATATAGTGTATATATATTCTTGATCAGGATCAATAGCCGAGTCGAACTGGCCATGTCCGTCTGTCCGTCCGTCTGTCCGTAGGAACGCTTCGATCTCAGGAACTACAAAAGCTAGAATGTTGAGAGTAAGCATGCAGCTTACATACAGTGCTTACTTACATGCAGTTTCCAATCCCGCAAACCGCCCAAAACTCTTAAAAAAATCTTTTACAACATTTTTAAGATTTTTTTCATTTGATTACTTTTCTTCAATTTCTACCTATATACCAGAACATGTTGAAATTTCCAGTTTGCTCCTTCTCTACCTGAGTAACGGGTATCTGATAGTCGGGGATCTCCCCTATAGCATTTTATCTTGTTGATATCTTTCTTTGGCAATTTATCGTACTACACATAAGTATTGGTTTCACTTCTATGCATAAGTTCAAGCAGAACCCAATTATTATTATACTGCATTTAGCTTTCAACATTCAACTTTTTCTTGTGATATACTCTCTTTATTTTTAAGTTGCACCAGCTCCCCCTTTCTTTACCATAAATTTGCTTGATATCCTGATATTTGCAAGGATTCTGCTAATTGGTTCCCCTTGAAATCCTGAAAAAACATTGAATTGACTGCATCTAGTTACAAAAATAAAATAAGTGAAATGCAAGGCAGAAAGCTGGACAAATGAGAAAAGATAAGATGCAAAACAACCACATAAATAAACACAAGCAATGGAAATAATAAAATATACTTGTATGTAGGTAATAATACATTTTAAAAGTTGACATTGTTGCCAGTAAGACATCGATATTGGAGAAGGCACTTATTTGTTTTTTGGTAAAACATGACAATAAATGTTATTAAGTAAAGAAGTCACTTTGGCTATAAGTTTGCACATAATAAGTTAGTAATAATGGTATATATTTCATGTTTGAAAGCCTAATACGCCTGATTATTCCGCTCGTTTACGAGACTGCGCCTGCCCACATTATTATGCCATCGAACAGGCCATAATCATAATCATAGCATTTATCTAATATGGCAGCGAAAATATTTGCCCATTTAATAAGGGAGCGGGCTGCCTGGGGCAGCCATTGCCCATAGTCGATTCAAAGTGACTCCCAGCCCAGACACAATCTCAAACCCATACCCAACCCAACCCCGCATCCAATTTCGAGCCCCAGCCAAAAATGAAGCTGAAATGCGAACGATGCCGGGCGCAAACAAGTCGCAAATTGAATTGATTGGCGGGTAAACAAGCGCCGACCCGAATGCGATGCCTTCTCAAAAAAAGAGGAGAGTAAACAGATCCTGGAGCAGAACATAACCAGAATCGCAACCGAAATCGGGGGGCCATGGACCATGGCCTAAACCACTGGCCCTAATTGAGCGTGAACATAGAGGGCATAATACGCGGCCGAAATGCGGACTTCAATTTTGATAAGAAGCTCCAAGCTGGAACTGCGAAATTTGCAATTAGCCCCCGTCGAAAATGAAATGGCCGAGCAAATTGTCAAAGAGCCGGTGAAATTGTTTACAAACCAATTACAAAACTGCGAGCAGCAGACAATGGCAACACAGATTTCCAGCTTGCTGACCTTTGAACCCGGCAACTAAACTTTACTTCTCCTTTCCTGGCAGACCCTTCAGGCACAGCTGCTTGAAAGTAAAATCCAGCAGCCCGCCAAAAATTTCGTTATCTTAATGAGTCTAAACGTTAATCAGGCAAAGCAAGCCACCGAAGAAATGCGAAGGAAATGTTGGCCACCTCACTTGGCTAGTGGGCCAAACAAAAACCAAAAACGACGGAAGCCAAATTTGGCGGCTGCGGGAAACGGAAGTCGAAGAGTCAGGCTACAGTCCAAAGTCCGAGGCGGCACGGATGCATATTAAATTAATAATTTGACCCATCCTGTGACTCTGAGTGCCATGCCACAAGCTAGCAAACTCGGCCAAAAAGGAGACTGGGCTAATTTCTGCATCCGCACTACGAGATTTTTGTTTGCTGATTGCGACAAGGACAACACGGATGCGGGGGCCATGTTGCGCTAATGTTTCACCCGAGACCGGGGACCCAGGACTCGGAACTGGCCTCCCCAGCACCGAGAAACCGAGAGATAAACAATTAAAAACTTTTGCAATTTGCGGTAATTCCACTCTTAACCCCTTTGGACGCCAAGTGCGCATAACAAGTAGTTGTAGCACGGGATTGTGGTACTTTAGTTCACAGGGACAAATTCGGGCTAAGACGGAACATGTGTTCTCTAACTTGCTAAAGGTTTTAAAATGTAATTGTGATAACTCGAACATACTTAAGAAAACGTAATTTTGGTCTTAATCAGATATAATCGTACAAATCACATTAAATAAACTAGCTTAATAACAATTTAATAACATAAAAGTGAAATCTATATTTGAAAATACATGTTAAAATAGTTTAAAAATGGCGAGTCTGACAACTCTGCACATCATTAGGTAATATTTATTATTTAATTTGTTACGCTTACATTGCAGCTTTTGTTTCAGGCGACAGCTTTTCTCTAAGTGCATCTGATAAGACGGCCCATTCGATATCTTATCACACTTTTGTAGCTGCTTGCCTGATAAGGCGTGGGATCCTAACTCTGTTTGAGTTGGGTGCAACATGTAATTTTGTTGATTTTGCGCACGTTTTTACTTACCATTATCAATCAGAACAGAGTGCAAAAATTTTCACGCGGCACTTCGTTGCTGGTTGGCTATATATACAAAGGGCGCGATCAATCAAAACATTCCCCAATCAAAACAAAATAAACGATCAAAATGGTTTGCAAAGGCTGCGGAACTAGTAAGTTAATAACTAGATGTAAAATAAAGGAAATCAATTAAAGAAATCCTGATTTTCAGACTGCAAGTGCCAGGACACCAAGTGCGGCGACAATTGTGCCTGCAACGAGGACTGCAAGTGCGTGTGCAAAAACGGGCCCAAGGATCAGTGCTGCAAGACCAAGTAGCTTAAGCCGATCGATTGATTGAAAACCAATAAATGAAAGGCCGTGTGTAAGCAGCAAAGCTCACCAACATATCAGTTTCTGTCAGAAATGAAATTCGCTTAATTACAATTTGGTGCTCCGTATGTCGAGGACAAATATTTACCATGGCATTATGGCGTGTGTGGCCCAGAGGCTAAGTCCTCTTCTGGCCAAGTGTCACACATTTGGCCAGGGTCGCATTGCAAAATGCGCAATTATTGCATTTGTGGCGCGTGGCAGGCGGCAGGCGGCATTGCATGGTTGCAAAATTTATGCGGTCTCATTTGCAGCGACGAGGACACAGCTCGAAATTGTGACACTTGTAAGTGAGCGTGAAATAATTTCGCGCATTAAGTATACGCAACGGGGGCCGACAATAATGCGGCTGCCATTAGGAGAGCAATTGTTTAAGCAATTAATTAGCCCTGCTCTCACAGCAAAAGTAACCGAAACGGGAAAAGGAACAGGAAGAATGAAAATATGAGGCGTCGGCCACTTAAGGACTTTTTCCAGCCAGATTGCCCTCCTAATAAGCGCGGTAAGTGAGTTTGGCGGCGAGGAAAACTCATGTTTCACTCCCAACACAATGAACTTCGGCGGCGGGCTGGGAAAAATTCTAACCGCAAATTGCGGAAATGCCTGTCTGGGCCGTCTGCCTCTCTAATTGTCTGTACATAATTTAGGCAAACATTTTTAATTAAGTGCAATGTCCGACGCACACACAAGTACACGGCTTGGTTTTTAATTCCATCATTAATCTTGCAGGGCCATTGCGAGGTGTGCTCGAGCAATTAGGGTGAGTTTGGACTTTCGACTTGAACACAATAAACAGTTTCCACTTTTTGCAGGTCCTTTCACAACATTGTTTACCCCCAGTGGTTTGGTGTTTTGCGGTCCTAATGGCTTTACCCTTTTTAAATGGTTCTATCAACTGGAGCGTCCCTTTTGCACTGATGCAAGATGATATACGCCTTTAGTTCGGCCGTAAACTTTAAAGTTCTGCTCCTGCCATACGAGCAGACAAAATCTTAAACAAAGTCGGTTAATTATAAAATTGGCCATATCTGAGGCATGAACTTGTTGAGTTACTTTGCCAGGAGAATGAAAACTTGCACACTTTGGAGCCATCCAGGCTTTCTTATCGCCACGTTTTTGTTTTTCTTGTCTGTGGCACTCGTAACTTTGCCGCAAAATTGCTTGTTTCCGCTCCCGGCCCCCTTAGCCCCCGACCGCCCCTCCTTCACCCACTGATAGATGCCATTATGACCTACACTTGGCCATAAGTTTTCCCTCTTGGCCGACGACGTCGTCGAGGCTGAAGATGCTGGCAGCAATTAAAGCCAATTATTCTGAAATAATTGTTTTAAGCAGATTTCGCGGGCAGTTCTTTGTTGTTTAATTTTGGATTCTTATTCTTATTTTTTTTTGGTTTTGGTTTTGTTGATTGTGGAATCCCTACAGCCCCTGATATTGTGTTTTTTGGCTTTACGCCTTTTTGGGTTGACACTTGAACGACGAGGTCTTTAAAGCAACCCTCATTTTCAATTTGCAATGCGAAAAGCTCGTTAAAATAATTTGTCACAGTATTCTGTTTAATTAAAAAGTTTCAAATGAATGTGCGATGCCATTAAATGATTCTTTCCAGCTTCTCTCTCTCGTATCTGTGTATTTCTGCATGCCTAAAAACAATTAACCCAACTGCAGTGCAATGCAATGAATGTGTATCTGTATCTGTGTGTTGCCGAATTTGTATAGGAAACTCGAAATTTCCATAGCGGGAATTTGCTGGCGAAAAAATGACATCGGGGAAAAAACATTTTGGTATTGGTTTACATTAAATATGCTGATGTTTAAGCCTATTAAGAGTGATTAAAAATGGGTTGAAGACATTATCATGCTCAATTTAGTTGCATTATTTACGTATTTAATTCATTACATAAAAATCAATTGATTTGTATATAATTTACTAATTCACCCACAGTGTACCGTCAGTGATTTTGAAGTATTATACGGTGATCCTAAAATAAATAACGTATTGCATGTACATTGTAAAAAATGAAAAATATCTTTGAAACTGATATGGAATGTTCTACCTATAGACTTGAGATACGTATATCAATAATTAGTATTTAATGCTGCTTAACTATTAAAGGACTTACCCATAATATCTGAAAGCTATTAGAGGATATTGTGATTGAGATTCATTCTTAAAACAAGAGTATAAGAGTCTAGTTTCTGATGCACAGAATATTTTGCAGTTGCTTGTGTGTGCAACTGCTTTTCTGCGTGTGCATTTCTCTACAATTTCATTTGCCAGCCCAAAAAACAAAAAAACAGGAGCAAAAAATGTCCTATACAAAATTCGTAGCAACAATGTTGAATGTCTCTATGTGTGTGTGTGCGGTTGCTTGTGTGTGCGTGGGTGAGCTGCACAATAAAATTTATTGTTGTAGTAGCAATGTGTAAGCTCTTTGCGTTTTGTGTGTGTGCTTGTCACCCACAATGTCCGTCAGGGGCTTCATTGTTCAGCCACATAATTAATTGTCGTAGTTTTCGGGTGTTAAATAATTAGAAAACAAGTTTTTCGGCTATTAATCACTTGAGTGCGGCGGAAAAGGGGCTTTCGAAAATAACGCGCTTACGGAGAGTGTGCTTCAATTTAATGGGCACCGCATACAACCTTAAATTAACCTTAACGCCCTATCAATGCGTCTAATGCGGCTAATGCGTCTAATGCGCTCCCTAAGCTCCAATTGTAACCCATTCTAAATCACAATATAATCCCATAATTTACATAAAACGAAGCCAAATCGCCGGGACAAGCATGCCAAGAAGCCAAGAAGAAGGTTGTGACCCACACACAAATAGGAGAAAAAACGGTGGAAAATATACTCGTGTATACATAACTTGCTTAGGTTCCCCACTCATTCCCCACATACATTGGGCTAACGCAATTTGCCCCACTCAAATATCATTATGTCATAAATTGATGTTGAATCCTTGTTCATTTATGAAATTTTCCCATTTTATTGTGTCGCTGTGTCTGTGTGTGTGTGGGTTCAAAAGTTCGATTTTCCCAAGTGCTGCAAGGGCGCCACGGCCATCTGAGTGTGTGGGTGTGGTGCAGGAATTTAAGTTTTTATGAGTGCCATCAGCATCAGCATTATAGTCATCATTAGCATCGTCATCATTATTCGATTGACCTTTCTAATTGCCAAGGTATCAAGTTTAAAGTGCGTTCGATGAGGGCGCCCGGAATGAAAATTTGCATGGCAAATGTCCTTTAAGCAGACAAAAAGATGATGCTAATGAAACATCAATTATGTGGAACCGTTTACAAGTAGCAACGGAAAAGGGGATAGAATCAAATGAGGGTAAGGACTGCGAGATACCTACTATGGAATTCGATTTGCCTAACAGTTGATGGAGGCTTTTCAAATCCAAAGGGAACTAATTGATGGAGGAACGCTGAAAGTGTTTACTAACAATATCACGTTCATTTTCTGTAAATCTGAGTATGAGCAATATCATGGGACCAGGTAGTGATCTAATTAGATAATTATCTAGATTGAAAACAGAACATACCCTGTAGACTAAAGTACAGGGGGTATAAAAATCAGCACGTGACCAACTTTGTCATCGCTTGAAGCATATCCAATTTAACCCTCAAATTGCTGCCATTATGACAGCATCAGGAACGGAACAGCAGCATCCAAGTGGAGGAGCGACATCGGTGGACCCGCTGAGTTATTAGCGAATCGTGATTGGCATAAATCAATGCAGCGGGGGCGCCGGGCGGAGCAGGGAATGCACCTGCCGCAGACACTTTGCCAACTCACTGGCCACTCTTTTAGCCTAATGGGCTTGAAGCCAGTGCGGGATTTATGACTGCCATCCGTCTGCCACTGCCTTCTCCATTCGCGAAGGTCCTGGTCGATTGTCGATGACATTGTTCTGCCACGGGCTCAGCCGTAATCCCACTTACATCAAGATGGATGCCGCTGATGCGCCATTTATGCTGAAATCGAAAGGATATCGATCACATTAACATAGAATAGAGAACAGGGCGCTTGGCGCATTGCAGATTTGATTTGCATAGAGCTACAGATACTAGATTGTTAAGAAATGCAAATGCCCGCTTGGAAAAACTCAGCTAAATAGTTGGGCAACGGTACTGTCTATTTTGGTACTGCGAGTGCGAGTACTTTGCTGCTGCCCGCCCCCCGCTTGCACCTCCTGCTTTTTGTATGACAAAACGCTGGACAAAGGATTTAATTAGTTTTTCTTTCATTTGCCATTGGAGCGATTGTGTAATTGCTTTTGAACAGATATCACGACACGCGCGAACATTTCGTGCACGAAACTCGGGCAAAAGCCAAATTGAAAATTAGAGGAAACGCTGCTCTGCTCCGCTGGAAAAGTGATGAGATGGGAAGGGAATCCTTTTCCTCTAATGAAATACTTGTGTCGTGCGCCTGTCGACATTATTAACAGCTTCCGAACTTTTGAATTTACGAACAGTACCGCGCCAAAAAGGGAGCGAAAATGGATTAAAAACTGCAATCGCCAGCGCCAGACACTCAAAGAGAAAATGTGAAAAGTGTGCTAATTTCCATTGAGAGCTGCACTGGAGCAGCAGCATCACAAAGGCAGCGCATAAAAAGTGTTTAATTCAAAGTGTGCACTGCTAGAAAATGCGTCCGTCTTAGGGCAAAGTGTGGCTTGAAACTTTGAGAACCAGAAAATCACATATGTGATTTCTTAAGCTATTTCCTTAGTAAGCTATATATCTTCTGAAAACCTTACTAGTTTCGAATATTATTATTATTATATTATTCGAATAACAATTCGATTTGGAACTTTATTAATCCCTTTTTTGGGATGACAAATATTCAAGAAATGCATACCACACTCGATTTCGATGTTCGATTTCCTTACATAGTGAATGCAAGACTTATGCCGATTTATTTTTCAAGTGTGCCTGCTTCTGACCATGAGCGGAAAGTAGCTGCTGTTTGGTTGTTTCCTGTTTGGTTGATTCACGTGCACCAGCAGGAGTTGCAGTCAGTTTATTT